CACACACACACACACACACACACACACACACACACACACACACACACACACACACACACACACACACACACACACACACACACACACATAGAGAGTTGTACCTGAAAGCAGTCATTTTGAGTTTCCTGTGGTGGAAACAGAAGAACATTCTCTGGAGCGCCCTCTTCTGGCTGTAATGGGGAATGGAAGAGTTCAATAAGAGATCTCTAAGAAGAAAATCTATAGGAAGCTATAAAGTTGTAGTGGTATGTACTAATGCAATGAAAATAAATCCCCCTTGTTTTTGAGGATTTTGTTTAAAACCAACTCTAGAATCACATCCAGTGAGCTCCAGTGTGCATGGTTTCTAGAGACTATGGCCCATGAGACAAATGTTTATGTTAATCCTATTAGAATAATCCTGAATTCCACTGCTGGAGACCTCATGTCACATGTTTTTCTATCGGTGTAATTTTTCCAATTGCTGTTACTGGAAAAAAAAATATTTAAAAAAACAAGTTAATTGCAACAATATCTCTGGATACAAACAGGAAGCCTTCTACCCGTCATAAAGGAATGAATTCAAATAAACTGAAGAAGCCAGAAAGCAAGTTTAGTAGAATCAGAGTCTAAGAGTTAACAGAGTCTAAGAGTCTATAACCTAACATACAGACAGGTTATCCACATGATACAACAAAGTGTGTTGTCTGAATGCTTATTAAAAACAAGCCTCAATTAAGCACAGGAATGTACACATAGTCTGCCGCTCTGTAGACTTCTCATGTGAAGCCAACAGTTTGTAATGATGCGGGTTAGTTTTGTTAGTCGTCTGTGCACGAAAGAGTTGAAGGTATGCACAGTGCAGCATTAGCAGACCCAGCCATCCACTGCCAGAAACTCGTTCTTACCAACGCCTCGGTTGTGCTGCTCTCGTTCCCCATGACTCAACCAGCTGCAGGGCCACAACTGCCCAAACCAACGGCGCCCCTCACATCGGCTGGCTGAAAGACACTGGCACAGAAGAACCATCAGCATCCAGCCAGGTTCAACAAAGAGAGACTGGGACAGAGGGAACAAGGGGGCTGTGGTCCCACATATTCATGCTCTGTGGGATTAAATGTCTTTGGTATGAGCTTGAAGTAGCAGGGAGAGAGAATGTGTAAGTGCATGTGTTCTTTTAGAGATTAAGGGGCCTGTGATGCAAAACTGCCCCCCAGTACCAAAGTGCAGGCTTTACCTTCAATGATTTGAGCTTCAAGGCAGGAAAAACAGCATCCTAACTTCTGGAGGTAGAATGGCACTAAGTGGAGCTCATAGACCGCCATGGCCCAACAGTCCCCAAATGAAACCACATTTAAAAATTGATTTATATTTAGACCTGCACCTTATTTCACACACACATAAATGAGGTAAATGAACGATGTTGAATAAAGAGTAAAATATTCCTGGATCCGCCCCCACATCTACACAAAATATTATAGAAATCGTTCAGGTAGTTTTTTAGTAATCCTGGAAACAAACAATCGCAGACAAAACCTCATCCTCCTTGGTGGAGGTAATAACTATCATTCAAAAAAGTGGATTTTCCTTATTACTCTATTGTATAAATTATAAACAGCCGGCCCCCTTAGGTCTGGAAGAACACCCACACATGCGGTGTGTCACTTTGTGCATGTGATGTGACTGCAGCATACTGCCACAGTGACTGAGGCTGGGTAATCGCAATAAACAATCCTAACTGGGTAAATGACAGCTCACTTGGCTCCGAGCAGTGTGCACTCTTCTGATTGAACATCAGGATGGAGACAATTCAAAATATCCAGGAGCGTCTCTGATCAAATGAATCATCTCTATATGAACAACTAAAACTACATTTATAAATAAATTGGGACATTTAACTTATTCAAAGGAAAGCTCAGCAGCAGACTACATTGAATTTGAGCAGAGCCACTGTCGTAACCCTGCTTCAGAGGGCATCTTTCTTCCTCTCGCATGAACATATCTTTGTTGTTGCTGAGCAGTAAACACGCAGAGGCTGTTCATGCTTTCCTCAGATGACTGTAGGGAGTGTGTTTAGTCAGAAAGCACTGACCTGGATATGTAAGACTATATAAATAGAAATCTACGCTGTCCACTGCTGTTTGTCTTTATTGCAGTCTTGTGCACAATTTTGTCCTCACACTTCATTCCCAAACACATGTAGAGGCAATGAACCGATGTGTTGGTGGGGTTTTTGTGTGTGTACGTTTTTTGGGGGGTTATGCCACAGTGTTATGTTTCTCTTTTGGCAGAGATGTTATTCTCTGTTTCCTGGCCAGCGACTACAGATTACAGAAAATTAAGTTTGAGCCAAGTCTGGTACTGTCCCTGTCAAATGAACAAAAGAATAAATAAACCAGTCATTCAATTTCTGACTTGTTAGTTATTATATATTGTGATGACTGTCTGTTTCCTCTTTATATTCTGCAGCGTGGTAACCTCTCTCCATGCAGTGCCTGCCTGCTGGCTATTTGTGTGAATGGGGTGTAATTTCAGCCTGCACTCGTGTGTGTGTGTGTGTGTGTGTGTGTGTGTGTGTGTGTGTGTGTGTGTGTGTGTGTGTNTGTGTGTGTGTGTGTGTGTGTGTGTTTGGGCTTTTTCTGGTGGCATCAACAGGTAACGGGAGGAAATCATATGATCAGACTGTTGCCAGGTCTCTCGTCACCTCATCATCTGACCATCCATCAGTCAACGTGAGCCATCCTTTAAGCTCTTGGGGTTTTGAATGAGCACCGCATGTCTTTGCTGAGACACCGAGAGTGTGAGGTTACCATGTTTCCTGACCCGTACCTGACCCCCCCTCCGCTGGCACAAAGACCCAGCAGCAGCACAGCCTCCAAACTAAACCAAATACTGTTTTTCTAATGTTTTAATAGCAACATAGAATCCAGTCGGTCTCAGATGATAAAAAATAACACAGTTCAGCAAGGTGGGGGAACAAGAAGAACAGGTGAACACACCGTGCAGGGGATGAAGTTGTAGTTTAAACCATTTTCTTCAACCTGGCCGATGGCAACTATCGTAAATATATTGAAGTAATCACTCTAGACTGCAAAACACTGTCATGCAAATTCCACAGCATGCATTAACCGATCTCACCCTTCACCCCTCCGTCGTCCATTTTCATATTTTGACTCTTTCATCAACTATAAACCAGATAAATCATTTAAAATCAACGCTTTAACACACAGTAAACTACTCACCACTGCAAACAAGAGACTTCTCCTGACACAGTGTCTGCCTCTTGACAAACCCCCTTCACTGTGTTTACTGTCAGACTCAAGGCCAGTGTTTGTTTCGGGCCCCCCCGGTCTGAGGAGTCTGTTGCTATATTTACGAATTACACGTTGAGTGGGAGGAGAGGACGAAGGGTGGACACAGGACAGGGCAGAGGGGAGGAGACCGAATCAGAGCAGGGGTGGCCATGTCTGGGAGTAATGCTGGTGGACTGTGGGTGGAAGGGGAGCACGGGAGGGGTGTCACCTGTTCTGACAGGCTCAGGAGGCCTGTCAGTCAGCTGGGGGGGAACTAGGGCAACGCTGTAAACAAACAGGCACGCTATAGACAGCAGGTCAAGGTGTGGGGCCTCCTGGTCCCTTGACTGATCATTTGAAAGACTGCAGAAGCTTTTCTGATTTTCATCTCACCTGTACTTTTGCTCCACAGGTTTTACATTCATGCAACATCTCATCTTCAGCTTGGGGAACACAGTGTCTCTCTGAGATTTTGCAGTGACTGACATGTACGGACATCAGTTGAAACAAACACACTCCTGCAACTACAAACCTGCTGCAGCACGGATTTACAAAGCAACCGTGCAAACAGGAGCAACAATTACAAATGTAAGTTGGATCTGGTATTATCTGCCATCATCACAGGCCGCCCTGAGCTCAGTGTTTGGAGAGAACAGGCTTATCATCCCTATAAATAACACTGATTTGATCAGCTCTGTCTCTGACAGATCACAGCAGTGTAAACATCCCTTTTGCTTTGCAGGTTTCTTCTTTCTCAACCGCTATTCTCAAAACATGTGCATCATCTGTTCTCTTCAGGTTTTGTCAACCTGCCTTCCACTTTCCTCCACTTCAAACAGCATCCCCCTCACACTCCTGCCTTCCTCACCCCCTGCTCTCCACAGCTCCTTTTCCCAGCTGACATCGCCCCTCCTCCACCACTGGAGAGCACCGAGTCTCCCTCTCAGCCTTTTCCCTGGGAGAAGAAGCTTCAGCTCCTGACCAGTGGAAATCTGTCCTGCCTGCTCTCACACACACACACGCACGGTGATGCGACGCTGCAGTCAGCCTCAGTTCAGCACACACTCCCTCTCCTCTCCTCTGTTTACCTGGCTGTGTGAGATTCCGATGCAGCTCCCCATCCTGTATTCCATGTCCTCCTCTGGTGAAGTGACCCTGGCACTACATGGCTGGCAGAGCACCTTCCTGCAGAACTGCATTGTTATCAGTCAGATTCAGCATTGCCAATGCAGCCAGGTCTCTGCTGACAGAGTGTGTGTGTGCACGCCTCTGTGTCTGTAAGAGTGTGTGCCTCAGTGACTAATAAATGCTCTGCACTGCATTGCCCGTGGTGCAGCTGTGACATATATTCTCAAGCCATTGCTATATAAAAAAAATCTACATTACATAAGGAATCCAACCTGAGCAAAGTGTGTGTGCGAAAAAGGGAGCTACTCATATGCAGCTCAGGCTCAGACCACTGCATACATGGGTGAGCAGAGCTTTGGAGGGAGGAAAAAGCTCAGAGAGGGAGAGATGGGATGCAGCATAAAGCGGTGCCTGTGCCTTTAAAAGAGCCAGGAGATGAGGATGGAGAGACATCGTCACGATGAGAGCGCACCAAGACACCACTGTGTTCATCCAGATAAATCTGATCATAGAGATCACTCAGCTGAAATAGAGCAGGAGGGAAATTAGTTCAGTGAAAAAATATGAAATGAAAATGTCCCTATCTGCAAATTCCCTGTCATGTGGGTAAATTTGGCACATTTTTACAGCATCTCGCACAAATTAGAGGCTTAATATTGCAGTTTGTTCAGTTACTAGGGTAAAGATATAACCCCCACGTCATATTATTAATTATCCTCAAATTAACCTAAAGTATTTCCTCATTGTTGCTGTTAGTTTCAGATATTTTAAGCTTGTGACACCATTGAATCATCACTTATCTCTGACACCAGTCGCATGTCTTTGGATTATTAAAGGTCAACCACCCCGCTTTATTCCAGTAATTATAGAGATCTGAGGAAGCAAATCATTGTGTAAAATCATAAGAAAACATACTCTAGGTACATTTAAAAATAGTAGAATACATATTTACCTTCTCCAAAGAGTCTATGTTTCTACCCCTGTCTGTTTGTTAGTTGGGGTCCAGGAATCTTTCTTCTTTATTGACATTGCGAGATGAAAAATCTGTCATGTTGAGGGGAGTGAACTGGATTTTGTGAATGTACATGTGGTTGTGTAAGTTGACTGTTGGGCCTTGTTGGAGCTACACTCTCTACTGAATGCCCTTCTGGTTTGTTTCTGTCTCACAACACTTCTTACTGCTGTAATACTTGGATTTCAATTTTGACATGATGAATCGTGAACAATTCAATATTATATGTAGTATATCCCTCAAATCTAAAAGTGGTTGTCCATTACTTATGGTCAGATTAGGAAAAAATCTGTTAAATCATTGAATCAGAGTAAAAAGTAGTAGTAGAGTAACATTGTACCTGGAAGTGAGTCGTGACCTTTAAACACACACAGATGCTTTTCATTCTTTACCCTCTGCTGGAACTGTCCATCACTTTTAAAGACAAAGTCGACCAGTCAACTAAGGTTTTAACTACCAACTATACCAATAACAGCATAAGCTCATTTCCTAACAGAAAATACTGTAAGAAAACTGGACCAGTGTGTCAGAGTAATGTTCAACACCTGCTATTTAAACGTGCTCACAATAAATGAAAACAGTACCAGCTTTCTATTCTTTGTCTTTTATTATTTAAACTTCTAAAAACAGTAAAACAAACATTAAAATAAAATGTGCAATTGAGTTATTATGAACTCAAAATGTGTTCTACATATCTCTCAGAAAATTTCTAAGAATTTGTCTGGATTATGTAGAAATCTAAAAAAAAAAAAACACCTAAAAACAATTTCAGTTTCAGGTTTCAAGAAAAAGTGGCGCGGCCCCTCACTCTGCCTGCGTGCTAGGAATCATCGTGCGTGTGATGTCGAAGACGTCTATGAGCTCCTGTGAAAACAAGTTATAATAAGAAAATTATGACCAATAATAGAAAAAAAAATCTTTTAGATCTTTTATTGTTGCTAAATTATGTCCAACCTTCCACATCTTTGGACTTATTGAGATGATGCACTGTTTAGGGCTGACTGATCCTCCAGCTTCTGCCTCCTCCTCCTCTACAGGTGCTGAAACACAAAAAACACACAACAATGTAGCAGGACACATTTTCTTCCCTGTTCCCCAGCCTGAATAATACAACTTAATGTCCCATCCTCTCACCTATGCAAGGCATTTTGTCATGCAGATGCATCTGTGCCAAACCGTCCTGAAACACACAGACAATGTTGTCATGTCTACTAACAGCCGCTAGAGGACAGAGAAGCTCAATTTAAATAGACCTCAGCACAGGCAGCTCACCCGGATCAGAAAAGACGTGTGGAAAATGTTCTCTACCGTCCGAGAAAACGAGTTGGGGTCAATGACAAACTCATAGAATGATATTGGCGACGTTGCTAAAAAAGAAACAGAGACATGTGAGTAAATAATAATAAAACATAGATGCAACGTTAATGTCTAAGATCAACTTTAAACTCACGATCGTCTTTGTAATAACCCTTCAGGTATCCTAGGATCCTTTCAACCTCTTCCTCCGTCGCTTCTTCATGGGACTTATCTATTTTCTTCAGCTGAGGCAGAGAGTAGTACGTGTATATTAGTTCAGATGATACTCATACCAGGATCTGTTTGCAAAGTCACAATCGTACAGGTACCTGGAGCCATGGAAGTGAAACTTGGGTTACCTGAGTGGGCATTATCCTTGTGGTATCCTTTGTAGTCGCTTTACTTTGCCGCATTATCTTTTGCTTTGGAGGAGGCGGCTCTGCATGGAAAGAGCCCATCCTGATGAAAGGAAAAAGGGTTTAATAAAGGAAATACTGGGGGAAATGGTAATAAACCATGCACTAAATAAAGTATTAATAGAGTCATAACAAACTTGTTACATGTGTATTTATTATTTTTTTATTAATCTCTTGTTTTAAGGTTTATTTGTTAGGAGGAGACACCACAGGAAGCATTTTCTGTCTTCTGTTTGAAGAATTGAGCCCCAGTTACTTCAATTGGTTTAGATTTGGCTGCAACACTGTTTAGCCGTAAAAATGTGTTTCATGGACTCAAACACTCCACCCGCCCCTCCATCAGCCTAAAATTCAGCTTATTGAATTTCAGAGTTTTTTTAATTTGTGCATCACATTTAGTCGTCTCACATGTAATGGAAGGAGGGTGCGGTCCTGAAACAGCACTCTGCTCTCCTGGCCACTCTCTGCCAGGCATCCTGGGGCAGGTAACCCTCAACTGTGCCCCCGTTCTGCTCGTCCTCTCCGTCTTCTAGTCGGTTCAGACCCATGAAGGACAACTGTCGGAGAAGCAGACACATCTCCACATGACTACTGCAATGTGTGATCCCATAGTGCTTGCATTAAAAACAACAGCAGATCTGGGTTGTTGTTTTTTTAATATTGTATTGTATTATATTTGTATCATGTCGCTGCTTTATTTGTTTTGACCAATCTGGTTAAATAAACCAATGACAATGAAAACTAAAGAAATACTATGAAACAAAGCTAAACTGCAAGATGTAATAGGACCCAGCGGCCTTTCTAGCTACTGTAACAGCTTTGTCCTAAAGGATGTGTTATATTTATGTTATATATTTACATAGCAGGTATTACTGCTATAATTTGCTGTTGTTCACTTAAAGGAATAGAAAATATCTCCACTATATGTACCATGTAGATAAAATAAAGGGTAAATATAGGAGCAGAAACAAACAAAGCACTATAATAAGAATAAAGACTGTTTTTATGACTCTTCTTTCAGCTGGTTTGACCTTCTTGTCTTTTCTCACACTTAGTAGTCAGGACTCTGTGACTGCATGGTTTTGTCAGTTAAAGGACACTTCCCTCAGTTGTAGATGTGGACATATTGAGTATACACAATAAATGTACTCACAAGGTTCTCAGCAAAGGCGGTGGGGTCGAAAGCGGTGCCTTCAGCAAACATCTGACTGGCTTTCTCCTTCCCCAGGTCTGTGGCCATGACAAGGAGCTGTGAGTCCAGAGCCGCTTCCCTCGCCTGTCGAACTGAAAAAGATCACAGAGAATTCAAAGAGCTGCAGCGCTGCATGGTGCTGATGTGAATCATAAAAGAATTGTTACTCTGCAAAATTACATTACATGTAAAAGAGCAAGTGAAACAGGTAATTTAAAGTCGTCAATTAACCAAACCCAAATGTCTTTGGACTGTGGTTGTGGCTTAAGGGTAGAGTGGTAGCTCGTCATGGTAACTTGAGGCGTCACCTCCAGCTGTTAACAGTCTTCTAGGACTTTTCTTACAACCAGTTTAAATCACTGACTGTAGCCAGTAGCTTTTAGTTATTTATAGTCCCATTGCATATTGTCACTACCACCCTATAGCCAGACCTGATCCTCTGTTCTAACATGTCGTCTACCTCTAAGGATTGACAGTGCTCTGGGCGGATGCTGTTGATGGAGCGGATGAGAGGAGGAGGATGTGTTAGCCAGAGCAGTGGAAATGCCATCTGAGGCAGAACAAGGACGATTGAAAGCAATAGTCCACCCAGTTGAGGTCGGCTGTGGGGGTGTTATCGCCACATACGCCATCATGTTGCCATCAGCCTGTGGTGGGCCTGCCTTATTAGGTGGATGTCTGCTGATTAAAAGTCTGAAAGACCTAATTACGCTCAGGTACAACTGAAGATATGTCCCTAAAAGATGCTGGTGCTTGGCAAACGATCAAACTTGTGCAGAAGACCCTGACCATTTAATCCTATATTTGAAAAAAGTATATATTCTTTTTTCTTTCTCTTTTAAGTCTCAAGTCAACTGTGGTTGTTATAAACGCTCAATATTAATGAACCTTGATTTTTCTTGACATACCATCTTCAAACAGCTTGTTGGCCTCCTCTAAAACTTCTGTGAGCTTGTTGTTGGAGGGGTTCAGCATGTCCTCTCTGCTCTCTGGAAAACAAAAGCACGTGCATCAGATCGTGTCAACACATAAACGACACGAGCCTCCTCCCTGTCTGTCCCGTCTGTACTCACGTTGCACGGTGTTGATCAGGTCTCGGTACCTGCTCCGGATCTCCCTCCGGAGGGCCGGGTCATTGTTGCCGTTGTCCTGCAGGTCGCCGGGACCGTAGCCGGGGTCGCTCTCGTTCCCGTTGCTCTGCGATCGCTCGGCTTTCTTGCGGCGGCCTGCGGTGCCGTTCTCCCGGGGAGGGTCGTCCTCAGAGCCGCCCCTGGCTCTCTTCATGTTCGGTCAGTGAGGAGCCGAGTGTGTCGGTGAACCACACACTGTTACAGCGAATGAACCGGACAGAGACGCCGACAACAACAACGAGGCGGATCTGAAGCTGGAGGAAGTTTTCAAACTGCTCAACGTTGTTTTGAGGAGAATCACAACAAACAGGAGACTTCTTCAGTTCAACCAAAGACGTCATAAAAGTCAAGATGTACACCCCTTTACTTTAGCTCATTCACAAGATGGACGAGTGCTAAATGTCTCTGGAGTCATAACAGAAGAGAAGAAACCAGATGTGAACAACACATCAGACTCATCGGTGCTGTGCTGCTGAAGTTATTGATGAGACTTCACCACAGCTACTGTCACATACTGTGGACGATGCTTTTACTTTGAGTTAGCTAATGTTGGCTGTTTGCCTGACAAATACATCAAATCCTTTAAATATAAACCAAACACCGACACAACAATGACTCGCTTGCGGTTAACAAACATTCAAATGCAGCAAAAAGATCAAAACAATAGAAATGAAACCAGAATCAGAAGCAAATATCTGCTGGACCTGCCGCGACCGGACAAAACGGAAGTGGTGAACAGTGTACCATTTCGTTTCTGTTGCCCGTATCTTTGGATGGTTCTAACGTTAGCCGTGGTTAGCTTCCAAAATGAGTCATTGTTTTCAATCACTTATTGTTAGAAACTCAGCCGAGCGTTAAGACCATCGAGGCTCTTGTCTCAGCGAGGACACGTTTAAAAAGGCCACCGTGAGTTTCTGCTGCTGTTCTACTGAGTCTGAAAAAGACGATTCAGAAAACTTCCACCAACCTGCGCAGCACTGACAGGGCGCCAGCCTCCATGCGGAACATGAAGCTAGTTCTGTGTTGGTACTTTCTTTACAAACAGGAAATGACAGGTGGCAATTCAACTAAAACAATATAATAATAGTAATCATAATAATAATAAGATCGTTTAACAAATTACTTCAGCCTCACATAAATGCATAATTCCAAGGAAATGCATACATCAAACTGGATTATAATTATTTTTTTAAAGTATGACAGCAATAGAATCAGAGAGTAATTCACAATAACGGAAGGAAAGCAACTCCTGGGACTACAAAATGTCCTATTTCACGAGAAAAACAAATAAATAATACAAATACAAATAATAGATCCAACAACTGAAACACAGATTACACAAAGACAAACATGGCCTGTGAGTGAGAAGTTGTAATACACACTTGTGTGTATCTAACATCACCGCGTGCATTGTTGTCACATTTATTCACTAAGCTTCGGGTCGATTCTCTCGGAGCTTCACGTTGATGAAAGTCTGGTGGAGGTGGAACTAACGTCAGTGATGGTGGACAGTCGTTACAGTAGAGGGCGCTGTAACCACTCGTCTGATTGTTTGTACAGCCGCTCTTGACTGTGGAGTCGTTGTTTCGTCGTCATGGTAACTTGAGGCGTCACCCCCAGCTGTTACCAGTCTTCCAGGACTTTTCTTACAACCAGTTTAAATCACTGACTGTACACAGGGTTAAAGTGATCACTGACTGTACACAGGGTTAAAGTGATCACTGACTGTGCACAGGGTTAAAGTGATCACTGACTGTGCACAGGGTTAAAGTGATCACTGAGTGTGCACAGGTTTAAAGTGATCACTGACGGGGTCTGTTGACTTTTTTTCTTTTCTTTTTTGTAATCAAAGTAAGTTTAAGAACATTACGTAAAGATGCCAGTCTCCTCATATTGGCCTTACTTTGATTTGTAATCATTTCAGCGCAAAAGATGCATAAAGGTGAAGTTTTAATGATTAAACGATTAGTGTGGGAAAACATCTCCCTTGTTCTGGAGTCTTTCTGGATGTTTGCTGTTGGTTTTGTGCTTCCTGTTTATTTACCACGAGGTCAACTACTTCTCTATATTATTCTGTAACTAAACGTTTCATCAGGGTTGTGCAAACTTTAATATTTACAGATAACATTTCTAATCTTCCTGCCTGTGGTTTCTTACAGCCGAGCAGGACACGCAGCTCTAATCCCTCCATGACCTCCCTGCGTCGAGAGGACGAGAGAATGAGCTGGAACAAGGGAGCGGAGGAGACGTGAAGCAGCTGAACGTCACTTCCAGACTGGTTCTATCTGAGGCATGGGGGAGCAGAGGACCACCTTCCCTGTGCTTCGTCTGGACTTGGACAACTTTGACTTGGCGGAGGCGGAGAGGAGCCGCTATGTCTTAACCAGCCCCCGCTCTCTGGAGTCCTGTTCGCGCCTCGGCATCAAACCCGTGGAACTTCTGATCAAATCACTGAACGAGCTGATCGCTGAACAGAGAGATGTCCCCCTGCAGGCGGTGCGAGTTATGCACGAATCCTACGAAAAGGAGAGAATGAAGCTTTTGCAAATGTGCCGAGAGGAGCGGGAGAGGATTATCCAGGGGAGAGCAGGGGACAGGTGGCCAGGCCTGGAGGAGGTGCCTGTCGCCAAACTGAAGGATCAGTCGACACAGAGACACTCCATCCCATATGCAGACTTGTGCCTGAAAGGGAAACCAGCCAGCAGGTCCTCCTGCACTGCTGCTGGTCCCAGAGAGCCAGACAGGAGCACGGCCTGCAGCTACAGGCTGGGAGACCTCAGACACTCCCTGTCTACTGAGAGGAAGCTGCAGAGGCTCACAGAGGACATCAGGAGGGAGATGTGTGTCACAGTGTCAGAGACAGACCGCAAGATTGCAGCTCTCATGCTGGTGAAGCACGAGGAGGAGAAGGCTCGTCTGGAGCACTGTCAGCAGGAGAAGCAGGAGCGAGAGGAGGCCCAGAGGCAGATGGAGGCTCAGTGGGCTCAGGTGGAGAAGAAGAGGAGGAAGAAACTGAGGCAGAGTGTGCGTCACTGGCATGAGGATCTGGAGGCTCGCAGGAGGCTGAGGGAGCGTCAAGAGAAAGAGAAAGTAGTGCAACTCAAGCTGGAGGCACTTCTGCAGGAGGACCGCTGGAGGAGGCTGAAGGAGGAGGTGGAGGCACAACGTAGAGAAAAGATGGAGGCTGCACAGAAAGAGGCGAAGGGACGCAAACGCTACCAGGAGAAGCTTCTGAGGGAGAAGCAAGAGGTGGAGAAGAGGGAGCAGGAGAAGGAGAGACAGGTGGCAGTGGAGAAGGAGCAGAAGGCCAGGAGGAGCAGGGAGCTGCAGGAGAAGAAGGAGAGGAAGAGGTTGCAGGAGGAAAACCACAAGGAGCTCCTTCGACACATCCTCCTGAAACAAGAGATAGAGCAGCGGATGGAGGAAGAGGAGGCACAGATGAGGAGCACCCTGGAGAAGAAGCTGCAGCACTCCTGTGAGAAACGTGCCCAGGCCGTGGAGGCCCGGCTGAAGGAGCTGCAGGGGCGGGCAGCCCGGGAGGAGGAGCAGGTTCAGAGGGCACAGCTGAGGTCCAGGTTGCAGAGCGTCCAGCAGCTCACACACAAGCAGATCTTGGTCCAACTGAACCAGCGCCGCATGGAGCGGGCCGCCCGGTACACCTCTGCCCAGCACAGGGACAAAGCACAGCAGACGCAGCAGCGCAACAAACACAGGCAGCTCTGCCACCAGAGGCTCTGGGAGAGGCTGCAGAGAGAGGAGGAGGCCATGAGGAGGGTCAGGGAGAGCTACATCTGCATGAAGGAGTGGAGGAGAGAGAGGCTGCGGAGACAGCGAGAGCAAATACAGGAGGAGGCACAGACACTGGCTCGGGCCTCCTTTCACTTTAGAGACAGGGCGAGGCAGCTGACACATAGACAGACCTTCGATCAGATGGCTCTGCAGGCTGAGCTGACGGCCTCCATGAGCCACATGAAACTATGAAACTACTGCAGCAACAATCTGAAAATACAGCAAGGACACATCATACATGTGGATGAATGTGTTGTAACCGGGCTGCAGCTGAAGCTTCAAATAAATGTTGGGGCCCCGAGCTGCACAGAGGGCCCTTAAACACACCATGGACCATTATCATGTCAGAGTTTTGTTGGATGGGCTCAAAATAGCTCAATGAGGGATGTGCAGAATTGAATTTGTGTAATGACACACAAAGTCACAGTGCGATTAGATATCCAACTTAAAGGATTGTGCCATATAAAGTTTTTAAATGTATTAAAGGTAAGAATGAACCTGGAGTTATAGGTCTGACCATGTGGTGACCTTCCGTCAGGACAAACTGACTGCAGACTGGTTTGTATTGATTGATCCAGCAGGACACAGTTTAGTATTACACATATTCTTACTGGTTTAATAAACAGGAGGCTACAGGTTGTTTGTTTTTTTCAGCCTGTGTAAAGTTGAGACGTGTGGGTAAGTGAAATCTGCAGAGCTGAGTGGGAGGGGTTAAACTGCCTCTGGTGCTACATGAAGGATGACATCAGTGTTTTGAATTTGATATAAGCAGCCATTCACAGCCAGTGGAGTGTAATATTCAGCTCACCACTGTGTCTCAATAGAAACTTTTTTTATATACATTTATGTGAATTAAGCAGATTAACGCAGAACCAAAGAAATATATGAATGTACAATAGAAACAGCTTATTGAAGTGATGATGTATTGCATGAACAATATGTGTTTTGTATGTTTCTCATGTCTTTATAGTATTTGGATGTGTTTTATTATCTTTATTGTCCACTTTTATTTATCTTTAGTATTAAATTAAAAGCAAAACGTCTTAATTGTGTCATTGTGTTTAACACTAGCCTGATTGTTCTATGTCCAGGTCTCAGAGGCAATTGATGAAAGGGGTGCAAACTGACACTTGGAGGATTAAATAATGAATTAGCATCAGATTGTTTACGTCTGCGTAAACAAAAGTGCACTGGACTAATACAAAAAAAGGACATGAAGCATCATTATAACACAAGCAGACATATTTTTATTTCAAATAAACTTCTGCACTAAAAAAACTAGAAGTAACGTGTGATTTGAACCATTGACTCATTTATCATGTAACAGACCCACAGGCGTCTTACGTATTATTACACATGTTCCGACACACACAAGAGGCTTTGTCAGTTAGAACTCTTAAGTCAAAAACTATATCTCCTATTTAATCACACAAAATGTTCACGCCCTTTCTCATGGTCATGTGTAGACTATAATTGCACATTAATAAACTGAAAGACTGTGCTCCAGACTAAACAACACAAACAAGGAAGAAATAAAAAAAATAGTCTGGCCCAGATCTCTTATCTTTGGTGTAACAGACGGTATCATATGACCTGGTCGTTCCTGTAAATCTATCAACTTACTGGGATTTCACCACTGAACAGGCCTTGTCCTTAGCTTTGGCAACAACTGTAGCCTATTCTGTTTTCTTGGAATGAAAACTCGGTCAACAAAGGATGATATATTTGCTATCAGAGTCTTTATACTGCCTGCAAAGGTCTTTTCTTAAACCAACAATAGCGGGAGTCACAGGGCAGTTTCACTGAGACACACCAAAGTAAACTCCGGTTCAAGTCATGCTGTACCGCCTCTCAAGTTTACACACTATGCTAAACAGGTGCTCACAGTTTTTCCCCTCAGGTGCGGTGGCACTGTGCCCTTTCTTTTCTTCTTCTCAGTCATCATGCAGCCCGAGAGCCAGCACCATGGGGAGCCCGACCCCGAAAATGAGCGTGAGGCTCTCCATGAGCCCCATGTAGCGCCGCTGGTGAGTCTCGGCTCCGGTGTTGTGCTGCTGGGGGTCGGAGGAGGGTTGGCCCGGGTCTGCTCTGCTGCTGCTGATCTCCGGGAGAACGTGCACCGTGGCCACGTAAAGGAAAGTCCCAGCTGAGAAGAGCATTCCCACGCCTGTGGAGCTGAGCTGGCTCTGAGGCGAGCTGCCAGACTGCGCACACAAACACATGAAATCACATGAATAACAAACCCACTGACTGGGACTGTGCAACACTGAGATATGGTCTTAAGGCTGTGTTCTCACTGCATGTAATATGAAGTAAGAGGTGATGGCAACTATTGGCGACGCAGCTGAAAAGGCCAGCAAATGTCCCTGGATGTATTTCTTCTCAAGGCCTGAGTGCATCAGAAACGAGACCAGACCAAAAGCTGTGGGCGCCTGGGAGATAAGAGATGCAGCTGTGTTACAACTTGTTCACGATCAGTACTACTGAACGTCACTCGTCTTTTTCTCTCTGAGAACCTCACCTTGTGTAGAATCACTGCGAAAAATATTATGACTTGCACTGTCACTTGACCCGTGGCCACAGCAGCTCCGAGAGCAAATCCATCAGCTGGACACAGAAGAAAAATGATGTTAATAACAAGCTGCATCAGAGGATGTTTGTGCTTCTCTATAGTTTGGCATTACACTGATGGAGTTTTTTCCATTTTCTATTTGACTGTTATGAAAAATTACCCTCATTTTATTTGCCATGTTAGGTTTTCTACTTTATTTTTTCATTCTTTTTATATATAATCTATTTGAGGCATGATACTTTTTCCCACTTCTTTTAGGACAGAAACTGTCTAGTCATGTTGTTGTTTTATTTCTACTACTTGTGTAGTTTGTGTAGAAATTTAACTAAACTAAAAATACTGAACTGAAATATTAATTTAATTGGCCGATATGTATGCTATACTTTTTGTTACCAGTCTATAGAGGGTTCCGAGAGATTCCGCTTCTGTAAGATTGTTTTCATTGTTTATATGGGCCGTGAAAACCTCCCAGAAAAGAACACATTTTAAAAAGCTACTTGCTTTTTGATTTGAAATGAGCTAAAGCTTCCAAGTTATGGTTTAAACTCAGGAACATGTCTTTCAACATAAAAGACTCAGACAGAATCACATGCTGAGTCACATGAGGCTTTGAACAGCTCTAAAGCTTTGTTGGGAATCGTCCTTGCTTCTGGCCAACATGGAATTCCTTCAAACATTTTGTTGACTTTAGGCATAAACACAAGTCAGAAAGAAAAGTGCAGTAAATATTTAACAGTACAAGTACCTGCAGCGTGAATTACCAGCCCCAACGTGGTTGTGACACCGATGCTTTTGTGCAACTGAGTTGTTCGGTCTGAAATGAGACAGTGCACATGTTGTGGTGATGAATAAAGACAGTGGTGGACATTAAGTGACGCTGCGAGAGGTCAGCCAACTTGCCCCGCGTGGAGATGTAACTTGCAATCTGATCCACTGCGAACATGAAGGTGAATCCCAGAGTTAAAGCCACTCCGATGAAGAAGCGAGGCGGACGGCCTCTCTCTGTGGAGGTTGTGTTTTTGTTGCTGCCATTCAGAGAGGACGGCACATCAGAGGAGGGTGCTGAAGAGAGAAGATGAGGACATGGAGAGCTTTTGATCACATACAAAGACAAGGTGGACATGCATACAATTACTGAACCACTTCAATCCCTATGTGCTTCATCACTTGTCATCAAAGGGCCACAATCAAACATTCACTTCATCATGTCTGATGAGCTGTGCAGATAAATACTGCAGGTTTCCCTCCTTCAGCTCAGTTTGTGTATGGGGCCGGTGGGTGCAGGGCCCTGCTCACCACTCCATGACTCCTCCAGTAAGCCCACTCCCTCTGGGATGGTGATGGCCAGTGCGGTGCCACACAGGAGTCCAGCCCCCAGGACAGTGACCAGCTGCAGGCTTTTCTGAAAGAGTGGACACACGATGTCAGCTGATCCAGTGTCATGACACACAGAACAGATTCAGTCATAACAACACTTAACATCATCAGCACGACTCTCACTGCAGGCTGAGACCAAGTGTGATGTGTTCACAGTCTCCCGGGACTTCAGGAGCGACACTCACCTCAGACAGTCTGAACAGCAGCGGGATGAATCCAAGTAGAAAACAACCGACAAACATCGCCACCGATATCAAAGTGATAATCAATCCACCCTCCATGACGACGTCGACGCGTTATAGACAAACACGTGGCGGCTCGGTGTGCCGCTGTGTTACATTGTGGTGCTGAGTGTGTCCTGGTGGGTCAGTGACTGGATGTCACCGACCTCAGAGACGGTCTGACTGTTCCACGTCTCACCGCGGCACCTCCCTCCCTCTCTGCCGAGCAGCAGCACCCAGTGTCGGACATCGAGAACTGCAACCTCCCGCCCCCGCCAACATCTGCACCAATCATCTACCCCCATTCTTCTACTGTGGCAGTGATCCATGAGTTTATTTTAAATGGTAGACCCAGGGTAGGTGTTGTTTTATTCCAGACACAAAGTGTGCCCCCCCCCAAAGTACAGGAGCGCTCCTACCATTAAATCAAGATGGAGCAACATTATTGCTTCCATTTAAACCATAGACTGTAATAAAAATGGACGATGTGAGGGAACTCGAAAAGTGAAGCCAAAGTGTCTTGATCACCGACTGGTGGCTGGCTGCAGTGTAGGTCATAAACAACTTCTCCTCCGTGTTAGAGGATGGGACATGGACCAAACTTGTAAATCAAAGTACACTACAGACAAACCCCAGACAAAAAATTGGAAATTACGTATATTGGGGATGGTGGGGAATTTTTATACTAGACATGTCTGTAAGTGGGAAAAACAAGCAATAACAGTGCATGACGAGGTAACAGACTCAGTATGGCTTACATTGATTGCATCAGACTTGGGATGTTTTGCTCCATAATGCGACTTTTCATATGTTTGAGGAAAAAGGCAACAGAAGTTACATGTTCTCATTGTTAAAAAGAAACTCTGATTGTCCACAAACTTGATTAAATACAGATTTATTGTTCAAAGAGCCTAGTGGGAAAGTAAATATATACAGTATATAAATCTGTTGTACTTAACGGCCCTTTGGAAAGAACGACAGTCAATTGTTGATATTTGTCATCTTTCTAACAAGAATGTAAATCTAAAAAAAGACAAAGCGCACAGAAACATTCTAGTTTTGCAGTTTGAAGGTGCAGCGACATTTTACTGTTGAGTTATGGATACAAGGTGAGAACTTCTATTAGACTGTTTGAATGTTAACAAAAAACGTGTATGCATATCCAGTGAGTCCCACCATCTAAACAGATCTTATGAAAATAATAAAAAATAAAACCATCCATGATAAAGATAACAGTGAATACAACAGATAAGAGAACTAGTCACAATGAGCCCATTCAGACCTGGTATCAGCATCTGTCCTCAGTGATCCCACCACAAGTGGTCAGCACCAATTAGAGAACTAAACACACCCAAATACACACAGCCCTAAACTCAGGCTAAAATCAACGCAATTTGGTCTTTGCGAACACAAGAGACGTACATGACCACAAATTACATCCATGATTTTTTGCATATAGAGTCAGGAAGTGAGATCAGATCTCAAGTGGTCACAGGGGACACAATGAGGAACGCATTTCAATGCCAGATGTGAACAGATGAAGTTAGGGCTGTCCACTTGTGAGTGGACGCTAATACCAGGTCTTAATGAGGCCAAAGGGTATCATCTGCAGCTGACCCCAAAAAAAACCCACACATGGCCTCTCTCTCCATCCCTGAGCAAAAGGATCAGCAGGATCTTGACCTTCAGTCCTCCTGCAGCAGCAATGCAAGGATTGTCCCCTACAGGGGCAGCATCAGTAGCAGCAGTAGTCCAATAGCAGTACCAACAGAGGCTCAGGGATGGGAAGGGCAAAACATAATTACCAGTGTAGTGATGTATCAATCTTGATGGCATTTAAAATCCCATTCACACAAATAAAATAGCTTAACAAATGTAGAGTTGTACAGTGTCAAAGAGACTGTTAGTAGCACTGATGAAAGCTTGGAATTGGACATGATTAGTTAATGGAAGAATTTATTTTGAGACCTCAACTTTCTGCACAGACCAAGCTTTATGCCTGTGTGAAAATGTTTCTTGCTCTCCTCTCTCCGCTTCTTTTGGGGAAGAACCTGGTGCAGTCATTGAGAGATATTTGCAAGGACTATGGGAGAGTCCCTCCAGGCATGCCGTACTACGGTTGTTGGTGTAACTTGCTCACATAGGACAGTCCCTCTCTTTGAAGTGCAATATTGTTAAGGAAATACAGACAGAATATTACACCCCTTACAGGACAAGGCAAAACATTCTTCATTTGTGCATTAGTTTCTTTCTTTCACAGGTCTATGTGCAGTGTTTCAGGGTGGGCCTCATCTTAATCAGCCGTACACTGTCAGTGTACATTCCCACAGAAACTGTCGCTTGGTGAGACCCAATGGAGGACGTGTCCTTGAGCAGCAATCCATTTACTGCTCAGTAGACAATGTGCTTACGTTAGTGTAAAGTCCCTCGATGGAGGTTGAGATGCTTTGGAGAACTGTTGGTCCAGTTCCTAGTTTAGTTCATGAGATCAGTGCACTCCTCAAGTTAACTCAGGTGGTTTTTCAATTCCTGTTTTAGGCAGTGTCACTGCCGCACTTCATTATCGATGAGGCTGTCCTCACCAGACTGGAAGTCCTCATTCAAGCCATTTTCCACATTGATTATTTCCTCGTCCTGCGAGGATCCCTGGCCGTCGTCCTCGCCACTTCCTGAACCAGCCTCCTCTGAATTTGGGTCCTGAAGTACCTGAGCAATGTACATTTGCTGTGGGGGAGAAAATAAAAAAATGAAAATGTTGAATATCACAGAATAAGTTCTCCTTGACAGCAAAGTGGGTTTTTTTTACATTGGTTTAAACACATCCTGCACGTTTTCCTGTTGTACTGATAAAAAACTGAATTAATAAGAAACCAAAGCAATACAAATTGTATTTTCCCTACAACATATGCTGAATTTCATTTCATATTCAAAACAATAAACACAATTATGTGTTTACAGCAGCTGACTGGCTAACTGGCAAGCAGTGTGTTTTTCCTTCATCATCTGTCGTTTGCCCCAGAAGTTATATCAGTCGGGCCAAGCCACAGGCAAAGCGGATATGATACAATTAAAAGGCAACCAAAATGAAATGTCCTGTGACCTTGATAAATTTGGGGATATCTTGAACATTTTGGATAATTTAAACATACAAGTCAACAAAATATATAACATAGGTTTCTTTTAGTTTCTTTTTGTTTGCATGGATAGCCTCTACAATCCTTAGTATATCTGACTGAGTACATACCCCTGCCTTGCTGGTGGCAGAGGTGCACACTGGACGCCCATTCTCCAATCCATCAACATCCTGGGTGTCAATCTGGGATAAAAAACACATTTAACATCAGCAGCTGTATATAAAGCTGGTTTCACATACTGGGATGAAGAATTAAATAAACAGTAATATCAAATACATGCAATTATATTTTTTACCTTATAGTTGTGAGCACTGAGATATTTAAAATGTCCAAAGCAGACATGAGAGAGGCAGATGATGATTGTGATGATCAAAACTATGAATGTGAACATGGACGTTGCAGCTGAGAACCCTGTGGGGGAATAATAGTAGAGGGAAACTTGTTTAATATGTTTTTTTACTACAGATAAAAAGTAAACAAATCTGTGCATGTGTTGTGACATGAGTGGCCAGTAGATGGGGTCCTCCTCTTACCCGAGCGGACAGTGGAGAAGAAGAGAAGCCAAAATAGACAGAGAATAGGAGCAGCCACCACTTGGTTGACAGCTCCAGAATGGATCTTCTTGTCCAGTTTGGATGGCAGATAGGCGTAGTACATGTTGTACCTGTCTGCTAAGTGTTTAAGCAGCATGTACATCAGCCCTGCACCAGGAGGAGAGACAAGACATTCAGCAGAGGTAATCCAATTAGGCCTGCTGATAAGCTTGAGTATAAAGAACAGAGCCACTGTACACCGCCTGTCCTCTGTATGTTTCTTCTGCAATAATTTAATGAGCACACCGTCAGGGTTAATAAATGGTAACACTCACCAAAAGGGACGATGATTGGACAGGTGATGCTGTAGGCCATAACCACAGTGAAGATACACATCATCCAGGCATAAGCTGCCCCAAACTGGAACTCATAGGCTTGGTGCTGCAGAGACACAATGACAGGATATTTAAGAAAATTCTAATCCTGATATCAATATCTACATTGACAGTTAACACTTAATCAACATTATCGAAACATCTTCCACTTAAAACAACTGTTTTTTATTATTATTTTATTATAAATTTTATGACATTAAAGTCCTGGGTCTCTGATTTCAAGCCCCTTAAAGGTTCAGTGTGTAAGATTTAGCTGAAAGGGACCCATTGGCAGAGGTTTTCACTCATGTATAATCATCTAAATTGTACAAATGTTTGTTTTCTGAACCCTTACTGCTTATAAGAACCATCATCAACCCCCCCACTTGCTTGAGGTGATCCAGTGTACAGTGTATACAGTGGATTTCTACAGATTTTATACAAGGAGGTCAGGCAGATCAAGTTGGCAGAAACTGTGACATTTGTGACAGACATTTGTGTTCACACATGCACCTCCTCCAGAGAAAATACGGAGGAACTGCGGAGTCCAGTGCATTTCTGAAAGCAGCTTATTTCACATGGACCCATAAATTGTTTAAGCTTGGTCACCAGGGAAGGAACGAACCCTTTTGACGTTCCGTCGCTCAGCTGCAGAGCGGGCCAAGCAGAGCCGGATCATGTACATGAGCAGACCAGGGATCCTCAGCAGGTCCATGGCGTTTCCAATGAAAGCGGACGCAATGACATAGTTCACAAAAAAGGCTCCATTGTCAGGAAGGAACACACACCTACAGAGTAAAGAGGGAAGTATCATTTAAGAGTGAAAAGAGGCTCATGCTTAGGTTTAAAAACACATTAGTGCATAGCAGAATTTAAAATCAAGGTAATTCTATAAACTATATGAGAGTTGACCTTATTTCTAAATGACTGAATTAAATATTGAACAAAAAAGGCACTCAGTAGAGTACATAACTCCACCAAGGCCCAACAAGCCCCTTAAATTCAATCAAGCAGCACCAAATCTCATACACTAATAGATATCAGGCTCCTAAATGTGTCTCATCTACATTCATGATTCATTCAATGGAATACCAATGACAATGTAATAAAAAGTGAAAAAAATTCCAGGATCTGCCCCTTTAACCAAATCCACTCTAAAATTGTATAGGTTCTTCCCTGACCCATACCACATCCTTCAACCAAGTTTCGTAAAAATCCTTTCAGTTGTTTTATGTAATCAAACAGACATACATACAAACCAACCAACCAACCAACCAACCAACCAACCAACCAACAAGTGGACAGGGGTACAAAACATGACTTACCTGAAGGAAATAATAATGATTTTTCAAAAATAGATTAATTATGCTAGTTATAGTGACAAATAAACTGTTAACAATATTTCATCCTGTTCTTCTTTGTCTGTTTAAATTCAAACAGCCCTAAAATGATTCTACTTACTCAAATCTCACTGCAGCATCTGCCAAGAAACTTTTGTCAAAAAGCCAGCGGAAGAAAACATCCAAACTGAAAAGATACAAGGAAAGAAAGGAATCAACTGAAACTATTAGGCTGACAAATTAATTAATGTGCAACTTCAAAGGTCATTGAACTGCAGGAAATAAATCAAAAACATGCTATACCTGCTGAGTCCTAGGGAGGGCAGCAACAGGACCATGAAGATCAAGAAAGAGTAGCATTTATGCATCGTTGTCCTGTTCTCTCCTGAGCTACAAGGCCAAATGAAACATTTAGACATAAAAAAAAACACACAAAGACAACTAAAAAGTTTAAATGGAAACAATTACAATATAACTATTGACTGCAGAAGGTGTGACTCATACCGGGTCCAATGTGCTTCAAAGAAGGCAGAGTAGTAGACAATAGTAGGAAGTAAGGCAGAGAAGGACCACAGGAGGAGGGTGGGGAAGAACTGGGTGATGATTGGATTCTGGAGGACAGATCAGAAAGAAACAGGCATGTTATGTGAAGAAAAAGACTCCTGAATTTCTGTGCATCTGTAACAGCATGCAGACTCGGATTGCTCTGATTTTAAATGTAAGAGCCATTTTTCCAATTCAGTTTCTCTTGTAATTATTCTTCTGTTTGAGTATGGTGATGACTACGATGGTCGAACTGAGCTCACATTTAGGTACTCCACTGGTTTGGTCACATTGAACTTGTCCATCGTGGAGATGATGATGGCTGGGGTGGTGAGGAAGAACAGGAGGAGGAAGAGGACACAGTTGATGATGAAGAAGCGGATCCACCAGGGGAATCCTCCCAATGACAGATGCTCCCTGTGGGATAAAGGTTATTTGGTGGTTAGACCGACGCTGGGTGGTGACCTGCCGTTATGGACACAGCTGGCCTGTAAACTGATACTGCAGCTCAAAAAATGCTTTTTCATCTGGCGAGAGAAAGTCTTTTCACAGTAGAATGAAGTTCAATCATAGTAAGAGCAAAGTAAAGAATAAAAGGATGAAATGTTTAATTGTCATTCAATTCATGTTTGATTAGGGAGCTTTGAAAAACTAAACTAAAGCATAAAACACAGTTAGCAAAAGTCTTCCGGATGCAGTATGCAATGTGGGTTTGTTTTGCGGTGACAGCTCTCAAGAGAATTTTCAGCCTAAAGATAATAAACTTTTGACAGGCAACCAGCAATCTAAAGCAGCGGCAGCTATGGACAACTGATTTTCCAGTTCTGGACTCTGCGTACTGAGTCGAGCTTCACCAAACTTTGAATAAACAGGTGAAGCTATTTGTGCAGCAGCAATGGCACAGCTTCAGGGTTCTGTGGACTGAGTCCAGCTGCTGTGACTCAATTATACTTCACTTTACGCTTTCAGAAAGAAAACTGCAATCAGTATCCCCACAGGCCAAACAGGCAGGTTTAGAACAGGCACTACACTAGTAATTAGTAATGAAATAACATCAGTGTGTATCAGGAGCATTTTGAACATTTTAACAATACTGTGATAATGGTCACTACAATTATGATATATGGATAAATGAAAGAATATGAGACTTGAAAGTGTTCTTACCAGTAGACATTCTGTGGGTCGGGGGCATAGCCGACAGTCCAGTTGTGTGTGTGCAGCTTGGCACTGAACTGAGAGCTCTTGGGCTCCTGACGACAGTGACAGCCCTGACACTTGCAAGCATTAAAGTCCTTCAAAATTCTGAGAACACAGATATCAAGGAGGATGAAGAGCCATGTAATGTGTCAATTAAAAAACAATCTCCAGAGGTGCACATTCCATTATTTCAACATGTGCAAATGTACTTACATGGCAGTTATGGACTCATTCTGAAAAGTGACAAAGGCCATTCCTAAAGGTTTCCTGTTGACCTTCTCTCTCTCCTTCCTGTAGTCTTCTTTTAGTTGTCCCTCCAGCTTGGTGTAGTAACCAACTGCCTCTTCCTGTCAAGGACACAAGAATACAGTCAAGAGTCTGATGTTTTTTTCTTACTTTAATTCTAGTTGCCAGTGCAGAAACAATGAATATCAGTTAATACACAGGAAACGTGATGACTATTAATATAACAATAAATAGTATAAGTCAACCAATAAGTTGCCTTCCGACTGCAGTGCAACTTTTAATGGTTGGTTTTGGCTTTCATAATGTCACCTGCTACCACGCTTGCGTAAGCACTGCTGTGGGATGACGCAGGGAGAAAGTGGGCGCGACCAAGTATTCTATAGGTATTACTAAACAGGGGGGAGTGACAAAAGAAATTCTCTTCTGCGCTAAATTGAAGTCAAATCGAGAAAACCAACCAATTTATCATGTCTTAAAATTAATATATTTCACTCAGGTTTATGTATGACTATGGGGGGAGGGGTGCATAGGATGGCTTTGATTATTGAGGTGTTACAATCAATACCAGGTTACATCACACTGCTTATTCACAAGTCTAAGATAAGATAAAGGTTTTTCTTATCTTTCTATGAAACATGTTGTAAACAAGTTTAAGGAGTGTGTTATTTTGAGATAAACCTGCAACATGTTAGCCTGACCTGCTCACAGCCTTTGATGATGCAACAGCAAAGGTGTCCACAGGGCTTTGGGTTGACCATGGTTGTTATGTGCTCCTTGTCCTGCAGGTCGATGAAAAACTTCTTGTTGCGTTCAGCCTTCTTCCTGTATGCACAAAATATTTTAATATGTCAGAGCAAATAAGACAACACTTAAAACAAGATAAAAAACACTCGCAGTAATGGTTAAAAATATTTTACCGATCAGAGTTGAGATTCATCAGTCTGGCAACATCGTAACAGATTCGAGCTTCCAATACAACACAATTTTCATATGCATTTCTATGAAAGACAGAAGGAGAGAAAGTGAGAGAGTGGAGACATTTACAGATTCACAAATGTACAGTATGCATTATTTACACATTCCTAACAACAAGATCCGTGTATTTACCATACATGACATCTCTCATGTGACATCAAGTTAGAACATCTTCACAAATAGTAAAAGGCTCTCACTACAAAGTGTTAGGAAGGGTGAGGGGGTGTTCGATGGTGTGTGTGTTAAAAAATTGTGGAGGAGTGCAGGAGCAAAGATACAATTTTTGTTAATACTATTTGGCTGAGTAGGAGTTAAGCCACACACCCCCTCCTGTCTTGACACATGACTTGCATAAACCTGCTCATCTGGCTTCTATTATGGACAATTACACATATAGGCCAGTCATTGTCTGATCCTGGCCATAAGGATGAGGAAAAAACAACTGGTCTTAACAGGGAAAGGCATGGCTCTCATACATCCTATTACAGTTACTGCACAGCTTTAACCCATGATGACAGCGCAATGGAACATTTTGTTATAGTGGTATATTATCTGTGGAAGCAGGACAGCAGTGAGAGAGGTCCTGAGGTGAGCTTACTCAAAGTGCTGCTTTATCTCACTCTCCTCTGCATATTTGGAGATTCGATTGACAAATAAGGTGCGTTTCACCTGCATGGAAATAAAGGAAAGTAATTAGCAACATTCAGACGTATGTGACCAAAGAGAGGATTTACAGGAAGTATGCCACTGACCAGGTCGTCCTCCTTGTAGTGCATCTTGGAGGTGTGCCGTCTCATGCTGTACACTGTCAGTAACAGGTAGAGGAATGCAAAGGTGGTGTGCAGCCACAGTAGTGCATTACTGGGGAAAATAGATTTAGTGACAGGTTTAAAAACAGCAGGGAAACATAAAATAGGGTATATGCTAAATTGAGTGAAGGTATAAGAACAACTCACTTGGCATTCAAATTTGCTATAGTTGTTCGCCCAAAACTATAGGCGTTATTTTCTGTAAAAACAACATTAAATATATTATTCACAGTATTGTATTACACTGCATTTAATACAGAAAAGAATGTGAGAAGTAGAACAACATTTGGTAGAATTAAGTTTCCAATGACTTCACAAAAGAAAAATTATAATTAAATATCAATGCAAACTGGTGAAACAAGATTAAAAGAAAAGACTAACATTTTTAGCAAGTAAGTTGAAAAAGAAGTAACAAGAGTTTGGATTATAGCTACAAGAAGGTACAGTACCCACAAAGAAAATGTTGAAAAATCCAATGTTGAAGAAAGTGAGGAGAAATTCCTGATCTGCATCCAAATTTAATTGGTGTGGGTAAAATTTGACCGGCTAAAACAAATGGTCATGACGCAGCATCACCTACTCAAATTGAGAAAATATCTAGTTATTCTCTAAAAGTACAAGGATCCTCTGGTAGTAACTTTCAATAAACTCACCCAGTAGATTTCCAGAGAAGTTAACGGGCAAGATGATGCCCACAGAAAGCACGCCCACCACAACCAGCAGGCCAATGATGTGGCGCTGAAAGGACAAATAATACACTGCATCCTCCCCACACTTTTCCCGTATCTCCTCATCCCTACAGGGAGAGCACATCAACAAAATCAGCAACTGAACACCAATTCAAAGCAGACAATCCATTTTAAATATGGGTTACTCCAATGTTTCTTATTTCCCATTTGCTGTGAGTAGGTTGACTCACTTGATGCGGAAGATAGCAGTTAGCCAGGAGCAGAAACCCTAAGAGAGAAGACAGCAGAGAACTGAAGGTGTTGTACAAGCTCTTTCATGCAACATTGTGTTTTTATGATTTAAGACATTTTATTTTATAAGAAATGGCATATGTACTGTGTCTTTCTGATCAATGTCCACAGAGCTGGAAACTGATGTGAGGCGTTCATAGCGTTCAGTTGTGTCTGATGTCATCGTAGAGGCCATACTGTAAACAGAAAACACAACAAACAGTATTTGTATAATGTTACACAATTACCCAACATCAGCATGAACTACAAGGGGATGTTAGTTGTTCACACCTTTGGGACAGTGGGATTACCATCAGTATGGAAAAGTTGACAGAACAAATAATACACCCACACACGCCCTGAAATGGACTGAGGAGAGTCATCCCTGTGGGATCCACACAGGATTTGGTTTGGTAAAACCAGTGAACCACAGGGAGAGTCTCTGCAGCCACATTTCATGCAGTATTAAGAGCCTACTATAAGTTGAATACACCATTACTGCAAGAGGACATGTTGCAATTAAAAAGAAGACAAAGCTCTACACAAAAGAGGATTCACCAAGAAAACAACACAGTGATTATGAAGAGGCAGATGTCTGGAGTTTCTCCAGCAGAGCCACAGCTTCTCTTTGACAGAACACATCAATACCTTATTTACTGTATAACATATTGATAACACTCCCTAAGGAAGGTCATGTCAGTTCAATTTATGCATAAGTGGAAAATATGAAGAGGCGCAAGGCTCTGCTGGAATTCCAGCACTGGTTCAGTGTTGAGTACAACATGTAAGGATGACATCACACAGATCTATAAAGAAAAGGAGAGAGAGCCTGCGGCTCTAATCCACCGCCAATTCTCCCCGCCCATATTTCTGAGAAGAAGGAATGGCTCCTCTGAGCTCTACAAGACAGGATGTACTGTAGGTGCACCATGTTAGGGCCTGTCTATGAACAACCACAGATCAGGGAAGAATTACCTCTCCGTGTAAGCATCCTGTCTGTGCGGCTCATGCAATGTGCTCACACAGAAGTAGTCCATGCTTCATAAAGAGGTCAATACACAGATTAGCAAACAAGATCTGATTAGAATGGTGAGAGAGGACAGGGACACATGACAACAGAAGAACAAGAATGACAAGGAGAGGGAGAATGATTAGGAGCCAGGCACTGAAAGACACCTGAAGAAGGAAGGAAAAAGCGAAACCATTAAGAGTGACAAACAGATTGAAACCCACAGCGGCCTGGACAGTATGAGGGTTATAAGGTTATCTAGAGAGAGAGGAAAGGAGAGAGGACGTCTACTGTATGGACAAATAACATACTATTCCCGATCATCCAGGCGACTGTACCGCTGATCCATTCGTCTAAAATGAGAAGCAACACAAAGCCATTCAGTTCAGTTAAGGCATAATGGCCCTTTCAGCCAGTACGGAAATAAATATTACACCAGTGGTATATCAATAAAGGTCCATCCTGGTATACAGAGATCCAAAGTCTTGGCCTGTAATTTGATAATATACCTTTTATTCTTTCACGAAGCTTGAACCACAAACATGTTTTATATCCAATCTTCCCGATGATTGCCCACATTTCCACATTAGGCATCTTTCACATTTTTTTTTATACAAAAAATGTATTAGCCAGACAATGACCTCAAGTCAGCACAGTCATGAGACAATAAACTGCATTTCCTGTCAAGTTACAAAAGTGTCTCATGCTGCCACCCCCCTCCCATCCTCCCACCATGCTGCAACCCCATTCTCTGCTCACATGCAGCTGAAAAAATAGTGTATCTGCAACATCACACAAACACAACAGGGGGAAGGAGGTGATGGAGCACTGTGTCATGCACTTTCCAGCATTCACAGTCAAATGGGCTTGTAGTGAAATCTGATCTCCCTCTCTCACAATTTTCATCAGTCCTTGTGTTTCACCTCATTATATAGTGGTTTAAAAGAATCAGCCCATGTTGATGGGTCCGGATTGGATACATTGGATGCTTCCACAGCTATGCTCCATTTTCAATCACTGTGCAGACATGACATCAAACTCTTATTATCCTCAGTGTCAGGATGTCATCAATTTATAGAGGGGAACTTCTGTCCATGTGGCTAAGATGCAAACAGTGGTCTCAAGGGGATTTTTTTTAAAATTGTTAATATTTACTAATCATGTGTTTCTTCTTACATTTCAGGCTTGTTCAAACAGCTGTCTGTTAAACAAGTAGCAAAGCATGAAAATTGCCAACAACTTTGACATTAAAAGGAAAACTGCTGACGCCAACTTCCTGTCTGGTGTACCATCCTTGTGATGTCTGCTTCTGTCAGTGAACTCCACACTCAGAAAAGGAATACACAATTATTAACTTACATACTAGTGCCAAATATTTAGCAGACAATTCATACATCCTTGTACCAAAGGCAAATTACATCAATGTCTAACAGTGGCTCTGTTTAGACATGCTGCCTTTCACATTTGCTCTTTAAAAAGTGCTGCCAAACCTGTGACAAAGGTTTTTTTCTCCTGCAACTTTGTAACTAGTCTTAACAGGTCATACTAAGATTCATTTTTTGCACTATTGCAACTTCTGGTGTAAAGTTAGGGTGAATTGTATAGTTCATCATTTGTGAAACTGATTATTCTAGTTGCAAAAAATATTTTAGGCTAGCATATTTTGAGTGCCAATATTGTATCAAATATTGACCATCAACCACCGCAGTGTATTCGACACATTTAATTACATTGTGTATTCACATTTGAAATTTAAAACATAGTACATATATCAGTGCATGTTGGCCATAATATCATTGCTTTCAGTGCATGATGCTGAAACTTGTAAACTCTGTTTACCTTTCGGTGTCGGTCACCAAAGCGAGGCGCCCATAATCCCATGCTACTTTTCTCAAGAAGGAGAACACAAACAGCAGCACCTACAAGAACAAAATGAACAGTGGCTTTTAGTACCTCTAGTTCCTTTTTAAGAGACATGACTGCTTCAAGGTTAAGATAGTTTGAAAAAAAGTAGAAGTTAGAGCCTGACTGATATGGATTTTGGGGGGGGTCAATGATTGCTAAGATGTTGATATCAAACCCTTATGACACACATGAGACCGAAATGTCGGTGAAAGGCTCATATCGACCAAATTTTGTCAGCAAACCAACATATTGGACAGGCTCTATTGGAAAGCTACACTTGTGTGTTGTAACTGGGCACTTCATTTGAGGGACTCACCAAGAAGCACATAAAATCAAGAGCGAGGACAGTTGGTACCCCTCCGAAAGGCAAGCCCTGGAGTACTGTGCTGGGAATTCGGGCTGAGTAACAGTAGGCCCTGGTGGAATTGGGCTGAGGCGTTGGGCAGCCCTCTGGATTGGAGCATCCTTGAGCCCCCCAGATGGCCATTATCAATATCAACACTGGGTAAATCACTCACTGCAGCATGTTGGCAACCTGGAAAGAGGTAAAAGTGTTAGATCACCAAGCAAGCTGACTGTTACTATTACACTCATCTTCTGTATGGGTCTATCATGGACAATCTCTGAACTGCACCATTCTTCAAGACATGGACAAAAATGCAGAGAAGAGGTAAATAACTTGAGACTTAAAGTTTACAATACATTTTTGTCAAGTCATTAGTCACATGCTCTGCTGCTGCATTCGACCACATGCTTGACCACTGTAGTTAACTTTGCTCTGATTTCAAAGGAAAGCAGATAATGCATTACCAGCTTAAAAATGCACCGTGGATGCCGAGTTGCACAAATTGTTTAAAGAATCAAGCTGTGGTTTTGGTTTCTGACTGCCGTTTCAGACTAAGTATTGATAACTAGTATTTTACATATTATTGAGATTTCTTATTTAATGAATATACAAAATATAAAAAGAGGTTTATTATTTATTAGAAAAAAAGAAACAGATGGTTGTTCCGGTGGAGGAGTTATGTAATTGGTATGTGCCTGAACATCATGTAACAACAATATCTCTACTGGCAGCAACCCTGATGACCAAAGCAATAAGCTAAAAGTTGCAGGGCTGCTAAAAACTTGGAGAACCCATTTCACATTACATTGAGTCATTTAATGCCTTATACAGGTTGAGGAGTAGGGTGTCTAATACAGAAAGATCTAATCTAAACAGATGTGGCCTGATGGGATAATCCTCCTACCTTCATAATTCAATAAGAAACAACAAACAGCAGACCTGACTATCTACCTAAAGCTTAATGGATGACACTGTCAAAATATGAATAGTGTATGAGGGATAATGAGTCATTTGATCTTTACCATCCTGGTTAAGGCTAGACAGTCGTTTCTGCTGCCCAAGCAAACATCAAAAGGGAAGTGTGACATTGTGGCAAGTCCTCGTGACAGCAAGATCAGTGTTCATCCATACAATAACAAAGATGGGGCAGGGCACAAGTTGTTAGATAAAAACAGTAGCCATCCAATCAAAACCTATCAACACTAGGAGGTTCAAAACATGAGAGACACTATACAACACTCAGAAGATCACATATCGGTGCCATTTCCTTACAGTCCTATTAAATTAAATTTAATTTGTAGTTTTTTTTCATATTGAGCCATTAATTATCTTCTCTGAAATTGTGTCAATGTCAAAATACGCCCTATCTCGCATTGTAAAAGAAAGCGAAAAAAAATCCTGGATTCACCCCCTGATCTGCATCAATGCTGAAATCTACTGGGTTCCTGACCCATAATGCATCGCTCCACTAAGTTTCATGGTAATCCGACAAGTAGTTTTTGCGTTATCCTGCTAACTAACAAACACTGATCAAACACATAACTGCCTTGAATTGAACTGACTGAGCCAAAGAAATATTGGTTCGAGATGTTGAGGAAAAAAACCTCTGAAAACTAAAGTACTCTCTTCATCTCATAAAAAATGGATGCATGCTGATCGACAAGGGGTTTGGACAGGGTGTGTAGCTGTTACAGAGAGGGCTGGAGTGTGTTTGCAGTTGCATTGCTATACTTGTGCCCTTTGACCCACTAATAGCAGCAGCATTCACAATGCTGCTCATCTGCCCCAACACTAACTCATTTATCTGCTCCCTGGAATGCTGTGACATCAGTGGAGAGGGACGCAGCCAGCGCTGAACAATAAGCCGATAGAGACCACAGGGTTCAAATGGACCGGTCTCAACCCAAGGAGGACGCAACTCACACTTGCACTTCAGCTACACTGCGGCACATCCTGGACCCATTGTCACAGTTCCAGCTATTTAGGATTCATACCAACATCTTAAGAGGGACTTTAGCACACTTCAATTCAAGAACAACTTAATATTACATGTGAGTTATAGATGTTATTTAAGGAATAGTGAGGTCAATAACTGAATATCACGCTTACTTAAAATGTGTAGGACATGTATCTATACAGTCATTTGTTTTTATTGTGATCTACAGGGGTTGGATTCAACCGCACAACCTAATATTATAATGCAACAGCACTACAATACAAACTCTTCATCTCTGCATGTTTTTAAGGATTATAATAATATTGATTTTGTTTTCCTCCCCATTTGTGTCAGTTTAAAGTGCCATGTAACAAAGTGACGTTGACATTTACTCTTCGTAACAAACACATCCATACACCAAAAATATTTGAAATCATTTGTTCACATCAGTGTTTGCATGCAGTCTTCTACTCCTTTGTAGCCTTTAATTGCACATACATGAGGGCCTGCGTAGCATGTATTTGTACACACGCATGATCCAAATAACAGGACGCTGTGTTGTCCCTTCAAATATATTATCAAAAGTCTGAATAGTTTTTAGTTAAGAAAAACAACACCAGAGCGAAACATCTACGAGGGCAAACAAATTGAAAAAAGTCAGACAAACAGTGCATCATTCAGTTTCCCTCAGGCAGCTGCATGTTTAATTTATACTGCTAATACATTTGTGTTAATGTGCATTTCAAATTTGTTTTCCATCCGTATGTGACTCATTATTTGTTTCTTTATCGACAAAGTTCAATATTTAAACAGGTTATGTCTAATATTAACAGAGGGTTCTGAATTAGGTTGGCAGCAGTCAAGATACACCAACTGTCGATTCATCCAATTGCTTGCTCGACTACATAAAACCAGAATTTAACAAGGGAGGGACACGCTATATGGAGCCAAGAGTAAATTCAATTTCTATTGCTCAACTCTTTTCTCTAAGGATGTTCACTTGTACTTCCTGCATGACAATCCATAATTCAAAACCAGACAAAACCAGCACCTGGTAAGGTTTCTCTCATAGATTCTATTTACAAGTCATTCACACATCTACAGTACAAGATAAAACATATAACCTTAATAAAATACTCTCAATTAATGTGTCATCATGATCATGTCTCCAGCATCGTGCTTTTAAGGGTTGGAGTTAAAGAATAAGCACACAGTAAGTATATATGAGTGAGTGAGTGAGTGAGTGAGTGAGAGTGTGTGTGTGTGTGTGTTTTGCTTCACATAAACATTTGATTTGGCATGAATGCTGTTGCAATGCTGATGGCTGATAACTCTGATTTGACATATTAGCCTTGTTGGTATTAGTCTGTATATCATTGACAGCCTCCCAGTGGATGACTTTACTCTATCACAGATTATGATGATGTCAGAGTTCAGTTTCATAATCATATCACAACATGCATGTCAATTTAAGATGACTCGTAATACAAAAACAAGGAATTGAAAGGAAAAATATAAATGTTGGAGTTACAACATCATTAATCATTTAATTTTCGGGGATTCCCATTAACAACTTCCAGGGTAGGTGAGTGTATTTTAATAATAATAATGCTAAGTAAGCAAGTAAATTATTGTTCACACGGTAACCTCACACATTAAATAATTTCGAATACAGGAATTATCCTACAAATATTATGATTAAAATTAGAATAATTCCAATTTTAATTTTCTATATGCCAACACCTTATTACACTGAATAGAGGAAGACAGCCAATAACATAGAAACATTAAACTATTATTGTGTAAAAAATGCAATGAATGACATTACCTCTTCCACAGATCTCACTACTGTATTTGAATTATACCTTGAAAAGGCTAAAGTGTGTTCCATCCCATCTTTTCATTTTCAAGGAAAGCCTGAAATGATTTGAGTCAACCATAATCACTTGCAGTTATAGGTAATAATAAGTAATAATAAGATGGCATGCACTGTGTGGCTACAGTCTTATGGACGTGAGGCTTAGTTTAATGTGGAGAGCTAATCTCTATTATCCTTGTCACCATTTCAAATTCTAGATTGACACAGGTGGTCAAACTAATCAGGTAATAATAGGGTGTCCCTTTACATTTAACTGGGGATGGGCATTAATCATCTTTTTACACAGTTACAGATGCAATGATGGATCGATGCCACACAAATAAGTACCCATTGCTTTCAGCATAGAGAAACAAATAACCCCAGTTTTCAGGGAGGAGTCCAGTTTTAATCTGGTATGGAATCAGTATGAGCAAAGGTATATCAGTCTGACAATTCTCCTAGAAAGGTTTTCCATCTATTTATATCTAATGCAAAACAATAAATAAAGATTAAGTGTGCTGGCTCATGTTTATCCCTTTAAAGGCCGGTCACAGGCCGTGACTAGTGCCCGGTGGAAACCCACGTCAGTGAATGCAGCACCGTTTAACCTGTTACAGTCTAGAGATTTTCCAAACACAGCATTGCTCAACCACTAGCGTTACTTAGATAGCTGTGATATGTGAGGAATTACTGATCCTCCACTGGTTATGTAAAGTAGAGACTGCTGTACTGAGCCTGACAGAGGGATGGGCAGACTTTAATACTACAGCTGAATTGTCTGATATCGTTCCTAGCATCTTATCCCATCCACAGAGAGCCAGGTATTATGGCGGTCCAGGGAGTTTTCGAAATCATTCATTGATTATGGATTGTTATTCTCATACTGAACAAAAGAATATGATCAGTCGAAAACCAACAGAACATCCCCGGATGAGGACAGACGAACTTGATCAGGAGCTTGAGGCTCGAGGGTGGAAAATAATAAATGATTCATGAATGACGCAGTCATCTACTTTAATGTAAAGCTACAGTCATCACAAACGACGAGCACATCTTACTTTACTGGGTCTAACTTGTGTCATTACTGCTGTTGACCTCAGTGGGGCTCAGATAGCCTGGCGCTAATGCTAACGGGATGTGTTTACTGATTGTTCTGACAGCTTAGGTAAATAGGTAGAGCCCCGTTGTTTTGCATTAGCTCCCACGAGTGTATGGAAACAACCAAATACGTCTGTAGCGGAAACCAACGACAACGACGGCGTCCATGTAAGTGAGTAAACAACTTACCTTGCTATGATACGCAGCAGCACAAACTGTGACAAATAGCTAATGTGAGCTAGCAGTCAGCAGTTGCGTTGAAGTTAGCTAAGTTAGCCCCTCGACGTAGCAACACGGGTGGCAAAGTAACAGGTGGAGGTTGTCTAACGCCGGGCGGCCGATTCCCGCTTCAAACCAGCATCTGTGAAACACAATACTGGGTCCAAGCGAACGGGGCGAGTCGGTGAGGCCGTGTAACAGTTGGTGATGACGGGCAATCCTCCGCTGTCTCGGCTGCGTCTGTCAGCCGGTTCGACAACTCTGCGCTAACCCGACGAGTCTGCGAGCGGAGGGTTATCAGCGTGGCGTACCTAGAAGCGGACCACATAGAGAGGCGACACGTCCTTCTGGGACATGAACAGGATCTTCGTAGAGTCTTCGTCATGCAGCTTCTATGTTTTTCTATGTCTATGTGTTCCCTCAGCGCGTTCGGATGACGTGAACAAAACTAACACATAAGCTAGCTGACGCCGGTAGCCACCTTTGTGCTTTTCTTGTGGTGCTCTTGTTTGCACGAGCACACATTGTCATGATTCAAGAATAATCATCAAAATAAAGCGACTCCCACTGTTTCTAATGTGAAATATTCATATATATCTATCTAGCTAATGAATATTGCGTCTATCAGCTAGATCGGCTAAAGCTAGGCGGTCGCATTTCCCCGACGTCACACTTTTGACATTGGCATGGAGCGTGATCACAGGGTAAAGCTAACGTGACACACATTAACGTAAACTTAACTGTTTTCCTATAGAAATATTCTTGCACTTGTATTATTATCTTTAGGAGTAAATTCGCTAAACCATAATTATTCGGATCTGTCGTTAGAATCCGTGGGTTTTGGAATCTAATGCTCGCGATATCGTTAGCAAAGCCTTTAGCTTATTAGCAGCTAACTGTTGTATGTTTTCTCTCTCCAGCTGACACAGTGCTCGTAGTTATGGCTCTCCCCCAGCTTTCAAGGTCCCTGACTGGCCTCCTCGTGGGTGCATCGTCCATCATTCACCAGAGGACCTTTAGGTAAGAGATCTGTCCCTCAGGTGTGGAGCCAAGTATTAGTAATATTTACATTTTCTGTTGTTTTCAGTTATTAAATAAGTGTGGGGATCATCACAGCTTTTAAAATTTTAGAAACATGCTGTTAAAATTTGCTGAGGAACAGAATGTACAAGGCCAAGGTTCAACAGTTCCCTAAAATTAGGCCACACCAGATTGCACACACGCCCAGATATTATTCCCTAAATATGTCTGAATCATTTCATCAAGATTCACACATAACCCTTTGAGAAATCAACTGAAATGCTGCACTGTGATAAAGGTGATAAAAACAATCCTTGATTATGCCCCTGTTCCAGATCAGCACCAAAATTTAATGTGTTCTTCTGTGATATACACCACATCCTTCCACCAAGTCTTGTGGTAATCTGACCAGTCTATTTTGATTAATGCTAACATATAACAGATTAACAAACTTGGAAGAAAATTACCTCCTTGCCCCTGCTGCTCCTATCAGTTGAAGATGAACTTTTGTCTATTTTTCTTGCCAGCGTGTCTGCTGTTGCAGCAGCCATTCAGAAAATGACGAGAGTCCGGGTGGTGGACAACAGCTCTCTTGGAAATACGCCATATCACCGTCCGCCAAGAGTGATCCATGTCTACACCAAGAATGGCATAGGAAAAGTTGGTGACAGAGTGCTGCTTGCCATCAAGGGACAGAAGAAGAAAGCACTGATCGTTGGACATAAAATGCCTGGAGATCGCATGAGTCCACGCTTTGATTCGAACAATGTTGTTCTGATTGAGGAAAACGGGAACCCTACAGGGACGAGGATTAAAGTTCCTATACCAACACATCTGCGGAAACTGGAGGGAGACTACTCTAAAGTGTTGGCAATTGCTGGTGCATTTGTTTGATAACTGTATCAGTCAGCTGTTATTTTTGAAATCCATATAATCTGTATATTTTCCCATCTGCTGGGGGATAAAAGAACATTTAGTACTTGTATTTTTTCCCTTCAGTAAAGCTTAAAAGGAGCAAACACTGAGTCACACAAATTGCCTCTATATGGTTTTCCTTTTGTTACTTAATGCATGAAGTAGATTCAAGTCTTTGTCAACATGTTTGACTTTTTCTGAGGCATCTCTATGCTTACTGTAAATATAACCTTTACCGTCAATGCATAGGAGTTTTTAGGAGCGGCCAAATTTGGGGCAAGATTAAGTTGTCATGAACACAATGAACAGATAGAGAAATCATAACCACGAGGGCAATATTTATTGAAGGCACAACATACATTCACAACACAAAACACATGACTGGCACATTTTTAATAGCTGTTAACAACATCATGGTGTCGTGTATAAGGCATTCAGTATCATGTGATCCCTGCAAATGTCAATTGTGAACTAATTCAACTTCACTAACCGCTTACTAAAATCCAAGTGCAAAACAAAACACAACCAAATTTACCTGCTTGACTTTTAACATCAACTGAAGAAGAAGACTGGTGTAATATATAAACAGGCTAAACTTCCGTGTCAATGCTAAAAATAATTATTAAAACAAAACTTCAATGACATCAGATCAGGCCTATATTGCCACCTACTGGTACAAGATTGGAACTACCAACTCTTCACTGAGGTGAGAATTTCCTGTTAAAAATATTTCAGTGCTTAAAAAATCTGGTCAAAATGAGAATGTCAAGTATTCTCGTTCTGACCAGCAAAACTATAAGGCTTCCCTTTTTAAAGCACTACAGTGACAGACTTTAACATCTGAAAATAATATGAGTAAAATATTTTTTAACCTGCTGTAGTGGATCAAATGTTAGTATGTCAGTTTATTTATACAGACAGCAAAACTAAAATATAGCACTGGAAAATCAACTGCTACAATGCACATCACAGCTAGTGATTTTTGTCATGCACAAACTCATGCCGTTTTCATAATGACAGTTTATGTAGCACATTGACTGCTTAATACTGTAGGTTTGCATAGTTTCTTAAATTCAGCCGGGAGACGCGTCTTGGTTTGACTTTGGTTATTTGTTATACAGCATTTTTTTGCTACTTTATGTGCTGAGGTGGGATGTGTTAAAGGATCAGCAGGTCACTAAGGCTGAGGGGTCTTCAGGGTCCCGGTTCGTGGTAGTCTGTACCTTTACTCTATTCTTTCGGTAACGTCTCTTCCTCATCCACACATTGTGAGGTAAAGCCACTGGTAACATGAGACATAAAGTTAGGATATCAGAAAAGAATGGAAAAACTGTCGGGGCTTTCTTTTAAAACAGAAATTACCTCTGTGATGTTCAACTCAGCCACTCCTGATCCCTCCTTGTCAAACTGCTGGTAAGATCCTGTTAAACAATTACACATTTTCATTATTTGTCAAAATATTGTAATTCCAGCTGTATTCATACTTAATAATATGATGTAAAATATTGGTTTATATATTTCTGTCATCTACATCATTATTACTCACTAAACATAGCTTCAAGTTTGACCAAGCAGCAGATGAAGTTGTCAAAGTCAACCATTTCATTCTCTGCGTACCGGGCGACCAAGACCTGGTTCAGTCTGTTATTCAATTTAAAACCTACAAAAGAAAACAACAACAAAATAGAGAAAGAGCTGCAGTTCTCATCTGTGAGTGAGTGTACATGTACAAATGAGGACATGATACCCAGGAATTATATTGTACCTGCTGCCTCCACAGCAAGACGCATCTCATATGAGCTCATGGCCCCCGACTTGTCGAGGTCGAACTGTCTAAAAATCACCTGGGAGACAGTGGCAGAAATGTAAGTAGAAATACAGAGTTGAAGTGTTACTTAACCCTGCAAATATGTTATTTATACTTACCAGCCATTTACGGATCTTGTTCCAGAGGATCTGAAACTCCACCAGTCCCAAACGGGCACTGCCATCTTTCTGACAACCATGGTGTCAAGGCAAGAAACTACACACAGAAAATCACTAAATGCTAAATAGTTATTTTGTTTCCAAGAAAAATCACTTCATAAAATGTTTTACAGTTCACGCCTGATAATTTAAAGAGGATACATCCATTAGATTGACCATGGTCCTGCATGAGTCAATACTGAAGCCATCAGTCTTCAGGTCCTTGTCTGAAATAACAAAAACACTTGTCTTTAACAGGCCAATCCACAATGACTCAGTTACAGGAGCATTATGGGAAATAGACTCCTCTCTGTATTGGAATCTAATACAGTAATGGTAGATGTATGACTAATATGTAAACTTTCCAGCACCTCAGAATTGTTGGCTAAAAATAAAACTCACGCCGGGTGATGACTCTGTTCAGAATGGTCCGAAGCTCGTGAATGGAAATCTCCATATCCTGGAAAACACCGCGGACGAGAAAAGAGAATTCGCACATTTCCAGTTGAAGTAAAAGCAGGATTTTTAACTTTATTTATTACATAACAATGGTGATACCATTTTGGATCTAAGATATTAATTCAAAACACCACTAAAAATACCGCACTAAAATATAATTACTGTTTTCACTATTTTATTTGTATATAAAAAATTATTCAAGCAGTGTTAGTGAATACAAATGAGATTCAAAACAGTGAGATAAGTGTTTCATAACATACCTCCCCTGCTAGCTGAGCAAACATAGACTTAAAGGAGTCATCAATGCTGTCTTCAGTTATTTCCTCCTGTAGGAAAACAAAGAAAAAGCAGTGGCATATACTGAGGATCCTATTTCTTCATGATATTAATAATAGATGATTTTTTCTTGATCATGAGTCACTTATTCGTACATCATCTTCTAAATCAGCAGAGATTTCATCATCCAGTTCTCTGCAATGGACAAAAACATATATACATTTATGTGATTTTTACTTTCACACATCACAAATACATTAAATGACATAAACATCACATACAAAAGACACATACTCAGTTTCAGATTGCTTCTCAGTGAAGACCCTGAGGACAAAGTCGGCCTCTTTGCCTGGTTCATAGGTGGAGGGGACGATGAGGTACTCTCCAGGGGGCAGACGCAGTCGCGTGCTCACCTCTCTCAGGTTAATGAAGGTCTCTGAGCGTGCACACGACGACTTGCTCAAAAAGAAGTTTTTCTTCAAGTGGACATTCTGGCAGCCTCTGTACTGAGGGCAGGAGGAAATAACACATGGGTTGGGATGAATCTGTTTGGTTCACCTTAGATAATGTGAATGTAATACATGATCAGCAGCACAATAAAATAAATATTGTTTGTATGCGGCTGTAAATCAAGATTTGAATCTTATATATAAGCCTTTATTAATGAACGGTAGTATTTTTTTTAATGCTGAACCTACCTCTTCTGGAATCTGAAAAAAAGACAAAGGAAGAAATGAAGATGTATAATATTAGGTGAGTAAACCATGAGATTGACAAGGAGAGTTTTTCTGATTTGTCAGCGTTCTCACCTCATAGAGAGCAAAGCCAATGGTGTGCATGTCCTGACCCTGGCGCCGGTGTCTGCGGCGGTCCTTCTGCATGAGCGCTACTAGAAAACTGCACGCCACCTCATCATCCTCGGGGTCATCATCTTCCTCCAGCAGCGTGATCTTATACTGAGGGTTGATCCAAAACGTGTCTACAGAGACAGTGCATTTGTGTTAGCCTGTTTCACAGTAACACGAGAGGACCTGATTGTTTTGCTGTTTGAAATATCACCACTTAACAACTTTATCAGTAATATTATCTATGTCAGATATACACTTGTGCATGAAAGGGATTTTTCCTGTGACCACACAGTTGGGACTCACTGGGGTGGTTCCTGCAGCCTCCAGCGGTGCTGCCTCTTCTCCAGGTGCCGTGGAACTTGATGGTGTTCCAGTAGCTGAGACTGTCCTCGCTCAGAGCATCAGGAGTCAGGTTACAGATCTCAAGGCGAGAAAACTGCCTCGTGAAATCACTGAAGGACATCCTGAAAGATTAAAATTAGCTTTGAGTCAAAAATCCTGAGTGCAACTTTTGCATATTTCAACACTGTGTCCATTCGGTTCTTGTTCAAAGTTCAATTCACGTATATGTCTTTGAATCATGAAGCTGGAGCCAGGAGGGTGATAATAAATTCATGTTCATACAAAGTGTAAAAACAACAAGTTGGTGTTAATGTGAATGTAATGTGCAATGTAAACTGATGGGGCAACTGCTAATTTCCAGAATAAGTGGCTTTGTCGCACATTCATAAACATAGTGCCCAGGTTGAAATATTCTGGCATTACCCTTTGATATTTAGACTAGAGTACAAGTGTGAGAGCTGAATCAATCTGCTAATCTTACAAAAAGGCCCAAACAAACCTAACCATTCCTTAAAAATGACAACATTAAATTAATCAAATCTCCATACTGCGACATCCTACCAAAACTCCCCGTCTTCCATCTTAAGATGTAGGTCCTCTCGTTCAGAAGAGTCGATCTCATCCCATTCAGGTGAACTACCAAAGACACGGGAGTAAAGAGAATTAACACTTGAGAGAGAGGATATTAAGAAAAAGAAACTAGGGATGAAAGTACATCAGAGACATTTACTCACTTATCACTCCAGGCACCAGTCCACTCCACCTGGCCCCAAGGGTTACGCACTCGGATTAGGCGCGTCATGTTACCACGGAAATCGACCTACATAACACCAGGGAGATGGGAAATGATTAACTCTTTCTGTTATTAATAATGACAACTTATTAATGAGAGCAGAGTCATGCACAGACCTCCTTCAGTGCAGTGACTGAGTAGGCGTGGCCCTTCACCAGTTTCTTGAATGTAACAGCCTCCATGTCGAAGGCACTGGTGATCTGCAGCAACATAAAAACATGACAACTGCAACTGAGTGTGAATAGTCTAACACGGTGGATGTCAAACTCGGTGTCAGGACCCCTTGGGGGGATCGGAATAGTATTTTCAGAAATCAGAAATCAGAATCAACTTAAAACGAATTCCATTTTAAGATAAAACCGAATGTGAATTAAATATAGTTATG